GAGGGTGACGCCAGTACACGTGTTGGGGATGCCCGGAATATTCCCATGGACGAACAATGTATCCAGCTTGGAGAGGAGAGCGGCGGCCCTGGATTGAACGCTGGCAGCGTCGGGGTTGCCCCTGTCTCCGGCGGCGACCCAGGAGTAGTGCTCCGCGCTCAAGTCGGCCAGCTACCCCCCCAGGAGCAGGCGCGAACTGTTTTCGCCCCCGAGCCCTTCCAGAATCTGTCGGGCGAGAACGCGCCGATCTTTGTCCTTCCCCTGAGGCTCCACTCCGAGCGCCTGGAAAATGACTTCCCAACGCCGGCTTTGCCGTGCTGAGGGCCTCGCCCGACTGTTGAAACGCCGGGGGGCCCAGCCGCAGTTTTTGACGAACGCAGCGCCGTCTTCCACCAGCTGCTGCTCCCCGGGTGCATTGCGGAACACGGTGGAGGTAGTCAGGAACTTGGCCAGACTTGGCGGCTTCTTACCCGTTACCAGCAGCTTGTCCGTGCTCGTTATTTCGCTGTCTCCTTTCATCGAATTCGCCAGAACCTTATGGGGCGAGTGAGACTCGCCCCACGCGTGACACGCCAGCCCAGGGAACGTAGCTGTTGCAGCCAGGGGTGCACTTAGATCCGCCCCATCGCTGCACCATGCCCGAGTCTCCTGTCGCACATGCCCGCGCAAGTCCCCGTCCAGCTCCCCGCCTGCCGCCTGGCACGCGCGACGGACGCACTCCTCCAGCGTGGAAGCCTTGCCGTCGCAGTCCATGCCCCGCGGGAACTCCCGCATCCCGATCGCCCGATCCACGATCCAGGGCCCTCTGGGGCCCAGCTGTTCCAGCCAGCCTGCCTTGAGACCGTAGCTTGGGAGGAAGTCCAAAGCCTTCGAGATCGACCACAGCTCGGTGCCAATTTCGACCTGGTACGCGCGGTCGAGGCCGTCCGCAGCCAAACGAAAAACAGCACCATGTTTGAGGATCCTCTGCTTGATGATCTTCTCGTGCTGAGCCATGGTGGTCACCGGCCTTCGGCGCTGCGGACTAGACTCCAAAACTTGGCGGTCGCCCCCAACGAACGCATCCCGCCACACGTCGAAACTACTGAAGGAACTGGACGATGCAGCCGTTGTGGGGTGCTTGGTGCTCCTCGCGCTGCGCATGGCGCACGAGGTTTTCCTTGCGTTGGAAACTCCCGGATCCCTGGCCTAGGGTGGATATGCAACGAGCGCCCTTGAACGCCGAGCAGAACAAGCAGACTGCAAATCTACCACCTACGCAGCCTATCCAAGTTTCACTCTTCAGTGTTACTGGATTCGTCGCAGACATCGAGGCGCTCCACTTCTCCTTGTTCTTCCAAAATTTGCAAGCGCCGCAGGTGGAGACGTGCTTTGGGTAGTCGTGGCTGGCGACGTGCTCCTCCAGGGTCATGGACAACGAAGGCTGGAACTCCTCGACTACTTTGCTCGGGGCGGCCTTCGCCTTCGCTCTTGCAGCCGCGGCTGCCTCGCTGCTGGAGCCGCTGTCCTCGTCGGAGCCGCTGTCGGAGCCGCTGTTGGAGCCGCTGTCCTCTTCGGAGCCCGCTGCGTCGGCAACTCCGTCGGCGCCGTCGGCGTCGGACCCTACGTCAGCATCGGCGTCCGAGCTGTTGCAGCTGCCACGGCTTGGCGAAGCTGCCCTCGACGAGGCCGCCGAGGCCGCGCGGCTCGACGGGGACGCTCTCGACGAGGCCGCACGGCTCGAGGATGCCGCTCTCGAAGAAACCGCCGCGGCCGCTGTCGAAGAAGCCGCCGAGGGCGCTCTCGAAGAAGCAGGGCTCGGGGAAACCAAAGGAGAGGACGAGGCCGCAGGGTTCGGGGAGGCCGCGGGGCTCGGGGAAACCGAAGGAGGGCTCGGGGAAACCGCAGGAGCGGACGACGACATTACCTTGAACCAAGTCCTACGGACCACAATGGTGACGATGGTGATGGTGATGGCGATGCTGATGGTATGGATGGTGATGATGATGATGATGATGATGATGGGGATGGTGGTGATGGTATGGTGAGGGCGGTTGTGATGGTGATGATGGTGATGGTGACGACGGTGATTCTGGATGTGATGAGCACCACCATCATCACCATCACCATCGCCACCACCATCAGCACTACGATTTGAGAACCACCATCATTACAATCGTCGTCGGCATCAAAACAAAAAAACACTCAACCAACTCAACCTAAACCCACCCTAAAGACAGCCAGTGGAAGACCTTCTGCCAAGAGGTCGACATATCCATTGTCACGTTCGCCAAATAGTCGGCCCGCTGGTTAAACTCCCGCTTCTTCCACAAGATGAGGTCCAAGTGAGACCGGCATGGCAAAATGTCTAATGAAATGAGCTTCGCCAGCCGACTTGAGATCCGGCTGAAAACTGGGACGTGTTGCTCCACCGTCGGCAACGGCACGTCGTGACCCATTAAGATATCTACGACTGGCTTGCAATCACATACGATAACAAATCTTCGTCGCGCCGTGTCCCAGTCGAAGGGTTTGTCCGTGAATCCCGGCATGGCGTGCTCGGCCGGCATGTCCTCCAGCACGTATGTTTTTACTCTGAGCCGTTTGACCGGAGGCGCAAAAGAATCTCCAGCGTCCGCCCGACGGATGATCCCCAACACAGGTAAATCCCACGCTACGCATACACTCTCGCAGAAATCCGGGACCATGCCCATCCATTCCTGCTCAGTCGACTGCGAGTCCCTCTTGACCCTCCATTCCGGGCCCCAGAAATCGCAGAATATATCTTCCCACAGAGCGAACTTTCCCGCTGATGCATGAAGGAGGCCTTCCCGGCGACGTCTCTTGTAGTCGTTCTTGCAAGGTTCCCACCAAAGTCTACTCCTATAAGAACGGGCTTTCTCTAAGTATCGTACCCCTCTGTGTGGCGGCATGTGGGTCTCTCTCCAAGCACTCTTGAATACTGCCTTAAGCACCTTGATAAACAAAGGCTGCACACCGAACCTGGAAAACCATGTTTTGATCAAAGCCGAAGTGCGCTCGTTGTACAAGAATTGGTGCTCCTCGGATTTGCGGCGCATCCGGCACGCCTTCCCGAGAAAGTGCCTTCCTCCTCCTCCTCCTCCTCCTCCTCCTCCTCCTCCTCCTCCTCCCCCCTCCGAGCAGGCAGGCGGCGCAGGCCGCCGAGGCACTGGCACGCTGGGCCATGATTCAGTGCTAACCTCGGCGCCCCCCCCCCCCCAAGATCGCTCTCGGCATCTCCGCCGCCCCGGCACACAACAATGTCACTGTCAATGCCTCGCCCGCCCCGGCACGCCACAACATCTCTCCCAGCCCAGCGACAACCTCGATACTGTCAATGCCTCGCTCCCTGAGGCGTTGCTGCGCTCCTGCTCGTTAACATTTGTCACGTGTGCGGAGCTACACTGTCAATGCCGCACTTCCATGTGGCTCTGCTGTGTTCCTGCTCGCAACGCACACCGCCAGAGGCGGGGGAGAGCTTGAGAAATCCACCCACAAAGCACGGAGCTCAGCACGGAGATCGGAAGCCCAAGAGAGCCCACAATCGAATCCATATCTATATATATATACATATACATATACTAGATCACGATCTAGTCTAAAACAAATCGGGAATCAGCCTAACATAGCGAAAGAACAAACTGGGGTCGCAGCCTTTCAATAGAAGGCTACGCAAAGGGGGGGTTAGCGAATCAAGACGGTCCAAGAGGGCCCCGAATCGCCGAACAATCAGTCCAAGACGCCAAAGATGGCCTCCTGACAACCCAAGCGGCTTCCAAAACGCTCGAAGGGGCCTCCAAGAGCACACCAAGAGAGCCCCAACAGGCAACATTCAATCATTTTCTCTGGGATTGTGAAAAGAGTCTGGCGTTCTCGCCTTTTCGGCTTCCTGGCGCCTCAAGACGGCCCAAGATGCCACCAAGATCGGCACAAAAGGCCTCAACGAGGTCTCCAAGACGACCCCAAAACGACCCAAGAGGGCCCCAGGACAGCCCGAGAGGCCTCCCAGACGGCCTCAGAAGCCACCAAAACGGCTCCAAGAGGGTGCCCAGACAGGAGCCCGAACGAACAGTTCAAGCCCTCGGCCCCGAGAAGCTCCCAGGAGGCCCCAAGTGGCCCCCAAGAGGCCCCCGGGAAGCCCGAAGGGACCCCTAAGAGGCTCCAAGAGGCCCCCAAGAAGCTCTCAAGAGGCCCCAAGACTGCCCCCCAGAGGCCTATGAGCGCGCCCCGAAGAGGCCCCACGAAGCATCGTCGCCGCCGCCGACGCCGCCGTGGTCGCCGTCCGGGTCGGCGGCACCAGCCGTAAGGCCTTCCCCCGACCTGGACGGCGACCCGGACGGCCCGGACGGCGAGCGGCGGGACGAACGTCGCGTATCATCTCATCCCTCTCCCAAAATCACTTCAGCAGAGGGCGGGGAACTCGCCTCATGTGGTGCCCAGCTATCCTCGCCCGTTCGACGGGTGGCCCCGATTGGCATATCTGCCACCGGAAACACGGAGGGTTGCACTCCCCCCGAGTGCTCATCTGACAAGGGACACAGATTGTCAAATGGGTCATTGGCGACAACATTGACAGGACATCTCTGAACCCAGAAAAGGATGATCTCGGGCGAAATTGGTTAAACCACCTCAGGTCTGGTTTGAACTCCGATCTGCTGCTCTGCTGCAATCCGAGTGGGCGCAACCCCTTTTGCTCCGACCAGCGCGCCGGCAGGCTCACCAGTCTCGGGCGCGGGCCGCCCGAGAGGCAGTAAAACCTGGGGCCCCAGGCTTGGGCCCACAGCGGTTGCGGGAGCACGGGAGAGGGGCAGAGGGAGAGCAAAGAGGAAAGGGATAGGCGGGTTGAGGCGAGCCTGGAAATCTTCACACGCCCTCAAAAGGAGACGCCGAAAACCGCCTGGCTGTCACCTCAATCTGCGATGTCCCGCATCTCATTCGCTCTCACGAGTTTGTCCTGCTGCCTCTTCTCAGTCTTCCTAGTGTCGATGGCGGTCTTGCGGCTAGCACGTACTCTTCTTCATCTTGATCGCCGCCGCCGCCGGGCCCTGCACCAGGCTCCATTTGGCCTCCCGCAGCACCTTGTAGAGGTAGACCTTGTCCACCCCAAGCTTCGTCAGCACATCTGCGATGTTCTGCGAGCCGTCAATCCACCTGAGGTGGGTGTTCTCGCAGCGCAGCACCTCTCTGAGCAAGGCGCCCTCGATCGCCATCCTCTTGTCCTTGCTCTTAGCCGAGCCCTCCTTCGTGAGGTGGTCGTAGACGGACTTTGCGTCTGTTGCCCAAAAGCGGGGAAGCCGCTGCACCTCCCCCTGCCAGTTGAGCAAATCCACCGAGACATTCGTAGCCTCTCTGAACAGCACTGCCGCCCAGTCGACGGCCTCCACTGCGTCTGCCAGGTGACTGGCCTCCGCCGCCAAGGTTGAGCGGCACACACGCTGCGTCATGCCGCTCTTCCAGTCCAGAACTGCCACCGGTGCTTGGTGTCCGGCCAGGATGCCGTCGGTCGTGCGGAGCACCACGTGGCCACCGCAGCTCTTGTAGCGCTCGATGTCGTCGTGCTCCGGGCCGTTCGCGTGACCCGCGTCCACGGCCGCGCCGATCACAGCGCTGGACAGCCTCAAGTTGGCCGGGTAAACCAGCGCGACCTCAGCGCCCTTCTTGGCCTCAGACACCGCCAGGTTCGCCTTCGCCAGGCCCGCCACACACGGGGCCGCTCGGGCCCTCTGCAGCTCGCCCGAGAGGAAGGCCAGGTCGAGTCGGCACTGTCGACCTAGCCAGCCGATCTCACCAGATACCCTCAGCAGTTCCTTCGCCTCATCCTCGTTCAAGTCCTCCTGCAACTGCTTCCTTCGTCCTGCTGGGATCTTGATCGGCTTGAGGGAAGTTGCGTAGTTCACCATCTTAACCAGAAAACCTCTCGGATCACTTGAAAGCTCACGGCCGCGGAAGGTGAAGGGCAGCTCGCTCCACTTCCACTGGAACGCACCCAGGACCTTCGGCAAGAGGTCCGACAGCTGCGTGTCCTTCATCCTCGCCACCAGCACGTCGTCAACGTGCGAGACCGCGATGCCCTTCAGCTGCCCGTCCACGCGCTTGTAGAAGAGCGCCGGCTCCAGGCGCGACTGAAGCCAGCCGTCGGACAGCAAGGCGTCACGCAGCGCTAGCCATAATAGCCTTGCTGCCTCCGCGAAGCCGTCGATGGCCTTGCGGGCCCTCAGCAACTGGCCTGGGGCAAGGCCAGGCAGGCCTCCTCGAGGCTGCTCCAGGTAGACCTCGCGCTGCAGGTTCTGCACATTGAAGTAGGCGTTCTTGACGTCGCCCAGGGAGAGGATCATGCCCATGGCCGCCGCCAGCGTCAGGAGCAGCGCCCCCGCCAGCCGTGAGGCAGTGGGAGCGTCCCGCCTGAACATACCCAGCAAGCGGTCGCGAAAGCCCACCACGACCAGGCGGCCCTTCGCGAGCAGCGGAAGAGGGGCTCCGGCCTCATCATACTTCCCGTCGTTCTTGTCGGTATCCACCCAGCGCATCGGGATGATGATGTTGGCCTTGTCCGCGCGGAGCGCCTCGCTCTCATCCGGCGGGATCGGCTCAGCCGCGTCAAAGTCCTGCCAGGATCGCCACTCTGCATCACGGCTGCCACCTCGATCCATGAACATCCGGCGTTGCCCCTCAGGCAAGCTGCCGAGCTTGATCTCCTTCCTCCCAGGCTTCTTCGTCAGGAAAGCGTGCTCGAACTCATTCCGCATCAGCCCGAAGATGAACTCCTCCTTGCCAATGCCCTCCTGGACGAAGAAAGCCTCACCCTGCTGGTACGTCTCCAAGCCGGCCTCCATGAACTCATCCAGGTCATTGTCCAGCACGAACTTCGCCGAGTCGACAGGCGCCGAGAGGCTGGATCCTGCAGTCCCCTGTCGGATCGAGACAGGGACATCGTCCAGCAGGCGCCGTCGCTTGGCCTCCCGCTCGCGGCGCTCCTCAGTCTCCTCTTCCTCCAGGAGACTCCCAGGACGCCGATGCCGAGAGGCCCCCGGCTCGGGCTCCGCGTGCACCCCGTGGGAGTCGGGGTGCCAGTCATCGTCGCCGTCGTCCCTCATGATCTCCTGCATCGCCGCGTCGAACTCCATCGCGTCGAAGTCCAGGTCGGGCGGCACGGGCACGTCCTCAGCCCCCACAGCTGGGGCTGGCGCCGCGGGCGGCTCGGGCGCGGCTGGAGCCGCGCGGGGAGCCTCCGCCTCAGGCGGGGCCGGAGGCGCCTCCGGCTCAGGCGGAGCCGAGGCGGGCTGCGGCTCCTCCGGCACCTCCGCCCGCGGCCCGACGTCCATGCCGCTCTGGTCGCCCTGCTCAGCGGGCTCCTGCCCCGCCGCGGCGGGGGGCTTGGGCCGGCCTCGCAGGTCCACGAAGCCGCTGCCGCCGCTGACGGGCGTGTCGTGCACCAACTCCTGCTCCTGCGCAATCGATCTCCAGGCGTGGATCTCGTGGCCAGTCGCTGCAGCCAGGTGCTCCGGGCTCGCGAGCACGGTGAGGCCACGGGAAGCAAGCCACACTCCATGCCGTCCCTCATGTCCGATCACGCGCGCCAGCCCTCGCCAGTTGTCTGGATGCTCAGGTCGATGCTTGGCTGGCTGCGCTTGGTCGTAGAAAAGCACCCACTGGCCAACCACGAACGGCCCTCTCGTCGGTCGTATCTGTCGAAGCTCCGCTCGTAGAAGTCGATCCTCCGGGTCGGTCTGGATGAAAGCCATCCGGCACCGGGTCCTGATCTCCACCTCGCGGGCAAAACGCGAGCCCGGCGTAGCAGCTGCCACCTGCTCGCCCACACGCTCCACCTCGGCGTCGTCCGCGAGGCTCGCCGGGAGGCGAACATCTCGTCCGAGGACCCAGAGGTAGGGACTGAAACCAGCCCGCCGGGCCAACGTGTTCTTGGCCCTGTTGCACTCCGTCACTGCCGTTCTCATCTCCTCAAGGCCCGCCACCTGCTTGTCGTGCACCACCCTCGTGAGCATCGAGTTCCAGATGCCGTCGTGGCGCTCCATCTTGCCGATGTGCCACGGCGAGGCCAGAGCGGCCGAGTCCAAGCGCACGCCCTCCTGCTCCAGGTAATCCGCGAACTCGCCCAGGAAGGACCGCGCGCGGTCCACCATGATCGCCTCCTCCGGCTGGCCAGCCCAGGAGACCCAGCAGAGCTCGTAGAACTTCCTGACCTCCGAGGCCTTGGGGTTCTTGTGAGTGTCCTCCAGCAGGCAGACCACGTGGAAGTTCGCCCCCATACACATGATGCCAAGGAAGTCCCAGTTGTTGCCGGCGCTGTCGACATTCTCGAAGCAGTCCATCGCGAGCAGCACGTTAAACTCGTCGACCCTCGGGAGCTGACTCGGACGTGGGATGCTGGGTCGCTGCGCTCGCCGGCAGCTCTCACAAACAAACAGCCTCGCTGCCTTCAGCGCCAGCGCCGTTGCCTTGCCCAGGCGCAACGCCCTGAGCAGCGCTGGCCGCGAGGGGTGCCCGAGGTTCACGTGCACCCTCTCGATCGCCCTCTTGGCGGCTCTCGGCAACAGCTCCCAACGTCGCTTCCTCTCCCGTGAGGCGTCCCGCTGCTGTGCTGCAGCCGGCCCCTCGGGCAGGTCGCCCCGCTCCTAGCCCGCGAAGTAGAAGACCACCACGTCGTTCTCGAGTAGATGTCGTGGCAACCAGCGCCGTCGTGCTTGCAGTGACTGTTGCGACCAGTCCTCGAAGTCTAGCCTGAAGAGCTGGTCGCCCTTGAGCGTAGTGACCATCCTGAGCGGGGCGTCCGCGGCGTGCAGCTGCGGCTGCGCTGTCTGGAGCCGCTGACCCCCGCGTCTAGCCTTCACCATCTTCAGCGGCTCGCTGATGACTCCTCCCAGCTCCTCCAGGAAGAGGTCCGAGCCCCAGATGATCGTCTCGATATCCTCGCCCATCTTCTCCAGTAACCTCCTATGCCAACTCCGGAACGTGTCCAGCTCAGCGCACAGCTCCACCGTCAGCAGCTCGAACTCGCCGTACTGCGTACGCCGTCCCCGGCGGAAGCCCAGCGGGCGTCCGCCAGGAGGCACGCCGCGCTCGCGGCGAGCAGGCGCTCGGCCGCGCCTGGGCCTCACGGGCACCTCGGCCGGTGCCTCTGCGGCCTCCGCCGCCGCCTCGGCAGGCGGCGCGTCCTCTCCGAGAGGCGGGCCCTCCTGGTGCGCCTCCTCTGGCACAGGCTCTCCCCGCGGCGGGCTCCGCGATCGCGGACGCTCGTGAGGGCAAGCATCCTCCACCGGGAAGGCCGCATCCATGACCAGCGAGCTGCGGTAGTCGATCTGCATCTGCTGGAGCACGCCGCGACAGAAGGCCTTCGCGAGGCCCACGGGGTAGGCTGCCGCCTGCTGCGCCCGATAGCCGCCCGAGTTCCTCCCGAGCAGCTGCTGGTGGGCGCCGGGCGGACAGGCACAGCGCTTGCTCAGTTGGTTCGCCACCGCTGCGCTGTTCGCGAGCCACCCCGTCGGCTTCTTGATCGGCTTGCCCGTGTCCCTGTCGCAGGCTCCGTAGGCACATTGATCTCCGCGCACAAACACAACACCTTCCAAATCCCACAAACGTATCAGGATGCCATCATACTCCCAAGAAAGTGCTGTCAAAGGCTGCTCTATCAAGAAATGCCGTCCTCTCGCATGCACACATCGAGATGCCCGTCGAACGAGCAAAAGATAACGACGAGCACTCCTGCGGACCTCATCCCAGTCGATGAGCTTGTTCATGTTGGTCATCAAAGACCACGGATGACATGGAAAAGCCAACACTGTGATGTAAGGCCAGTGCAGGTCGAGGATCCGGTAGAGTAAGGCCCGTCCAGGGCCCTTGAGCAGGTCATAGTCGGGAGAGTGGTCCACGTCCAGCGGCTGAGACTGCATCCAACCGTACTCCTTTGCACCGTAGCGCGTCAGGATGTGCTCTCCACCGAACGGCTCGAACACCACCGTGGTCTGGAAGTCGGCGGTCACGAAACGCTCCGCCTCGAACCTCGGTCGAAGTAGCTCCTCCCGTAGTCGACGATCCTCTCCACGAAGCTCACGCCAGGTGGACTCGAGCTTCTTCCGAGTCGTCTTGGAGAGGATCCCTGTCGCGTCGGTGGCCAGCACACCGCGATCCTTCGACAGGAATGCGTGGCCAACCTCCTCCTCGACTCGGATCTCCTCGCCGTCGGACTCCTCGAAGACCGACTCCTTCTGCGCCTGCGCGTAGAAGAACTCCGAGTCCCTATTATTCGAGATCGCCGTCGCTGATCTTGAACTCGAAGCTGCTGCCGATCGGTGACCGTCATCGTCTCCCCAGTCATCAAGTCGCACTGCCAAGTGACCGCCCACCTTGAGCAGCTGCACGTCCACGGCGAGCGTCTGCAGCTCCATCCGCATCTCCTTCAAGTGGAGCACGGCACCCAGCGCCTCCTGCGACGCCAGGCTGACCAGGAGCGGGGTGTCGCAGTCCTCCATCTCCGCGCTGAAGATCACCCCGCGGCGGCCGCCAAGGGCGACCGGGATCTCGACCGCGCGCCCCTCCTGCCTCTTGCCAAAGGCCGAGGAGAAACTCCTCACGCGGTCCGTCACCTTGATCTCGAGGCCGCGGGGATGCAGGCACCTCTTCTCGAACAGCTCCCGCCAGTGTTTGCCGTGCATACATCTTGTGCAACCGGTATCGATGAGCGCCACTGGTACGTCAGACGTGTCACTGTCTGCACTCACCATAAGCACCATCTCCAAACATCCTTCCCCGGGTACTGGGCGCACGTGGCGCCCGCGAGGGGCCCCTCTGGGCCCCGGTGTGGAGTGTGCTCAGGCCGAAGACGGCGGTGGCCGCGCCTCGCGCAGCCTCTGCTCGCCCTCGTTGTAGTTCAGCGTGCCCTTGCAGTCCGGAAACTGACTGCATCCGAAGAACCAGCCGCCTGTCCGATGATTCTGGCGAGCCACCAGAGCCTTGGAGCACTTCGGGCACTAAGCCACGCGGCGTCCGGGATATTTTGGCCACGCGGCTCGGCGTCCGACGCCGCGCAGAGGTCGACAGTATTCGGCGGCACGTTTGTGGCGATTTGTGCGTTCTTATTTGTGTGGCTTCCGACGGCCCAGAAAGGCCCAGAAGGCACCAAGATGGCCCCAAGACAGCCCGAGAGGCTCCCAAGAAGGCCCCAGGACTGCCCAAGGGGGCCCCAAGATTGCTGAAGAAGCCTCCAAGAAGGTTCCTAGAGGGTTCCCAGACGGCCCAATAGACATCCACGATTGCCCTGAACCGCCCCAAAAAGGCCCCAAGGCGGCCCAGAGAGGACTGAAAGACGGCCTCCGCAGGCGCCAGACGACAGAAGACGGCCCAAGAGGCCCCGAGAAGCTCCCAAGAGGCCCCCAAGAGGCCCTCAGGAGGCCCCCAAGAGGCCTACTGCCTCCTCCTCCTCCTCCTCCTCCTCCTCCTTCTCCTCCTTTTCCCTTTGCTCCCTCTTCTCATCCTCTCCCTCTTCGGCACCCGACGCTGGGGTTAGTTGGCCAAACACAGCCCTGGAGGACCTCCAGGGCTCTCCGAAACCGCCCCACAGAAGCCCAAGGCAACCCCAGAAACAGGCCGATGACGACGGGGAGTGGTTTGTCCAGAAGAGAAGACGCTCGGTACCACACGCAACGCATCCAGCGCATCCTGCATCTCGGGCTAAGCACGCGGCAGCCCCATCCAAACCCCGCACAAGCGTAGGTGGGCCCCTAGACAATCCAGGCAGTGTTCATGAGAGCCGGGAGAAACGTGATAACAAGAGGTGTCGAATTTGACGACTCAGAAGGGCTAGTCCACAAGGGAAGACGAAAGCTGTCACGTGTGACCCATCCTGCGCATCCTACGCCTAGACGGCCGCGTAGAGCCTCCAGGTGCCCTCGAACTACCCCACATGAGCGTAGGTTAAGCCCAATTGAACCTAAGCAAGGCGCAAGAGAAGGGCGAGCGCCATCAAAGATATTTTAGCCAAACGGCTTCCGGAATATTTTGGCCAAGCGGCTCGGCGTCCGACGCCGCGCAGAGGTCGACAATATGCGGCGGCACGTTTGAAGCGATTTTAGCGTTCTCATTTGTTTGGCTTCCGACGGCCCAGAAAGGTCCAAAAGGCCCCCAAGGTGGCCCCAAAACAGCCCAAGAGGCGCCCAAAAAGGCCCCAAGACTGCCCAAGAGGGCCCCAAGATTGCCTAAGAGGCCTCCAAGAAGGTCCCTAGAGGGTTCCAAGACGGCCCAATAGACATTCAAGACTGCCCTGGACCGCCCCAAGAAGGCCCCAAGGCGGCCCAGAGAGGCCTCAAAGACGGCCTCCGCAGGCGTCAGACGACAGAAGACGGCCCAAGAGGCCCCGAGAAGCTCCCAAGAGGCCCCCAAGAGGCCCTCAGGAGGCCCCCGAGAGGCCTACTCCTCCTCCTCCTCCTCCTCCTCCTCCTCCTCCCTCCTCCTCCTCCTCCTCCTCCTCCTCCTCCTCCTCCTCCACCTTTTGCTCCTGCGTCTAATCCTCTCCCTCTTCCTCCCCCAAGTGTTCCCCAGGGGTTTCCACAACGGCTGTGGGAACACATAGCCCAATACCTTGGACAAACTTTGGCCCAACGTTTGGCCACATAAACGTTTCCAATAAGGCAAGGGGGCGGTGGTGATTCGCATTAGGCGTCTTCAATAGAGACAAGAGGTGTCACAAGAGCTGCGCTGGCACGGTGGCGGGGCATGCCGCAGACAGCTGAATATAAAAACGGTGTTCGTACCTTCTCTGATATCACGAGAGTCCTGAGCCAAATCCAGTAGGTGGGCCTCAGGGGCGCACTTGGGCTGTTTTGGGGCGTCTTCAATAGAGACAAGAGGTGTCACAAGAGCTGCGCTGGCACGGTGGCGGGGCATGCCGCAGACAGCTGAATATAAAAACGGTGTTCGTACCTTCTCTGATATCACGAGGGTCATGAGCCAAATCCAATAGGTGGGCCTCAGGGGCGCACTTGGGCTGTTTTGGGCGCGTCTTGGGCCGCCTTGGGGCTCTCTTGGGCCGTCTTGGGGCCCTCTGGGGCGCCTCCCCGGCTGCCTTGGGGTAGTATTGGGGGCTTTCGATGTCGTCAAGAAGTGTACGACAGCGAAAACAATTGATATGGCACAAATATACGTTATACGAAGGGAATGGGGCTATTTTTGCAATTTGGAGATCTCTTCGAGCGCGTCTTGGAGGCCTTTTGGGGCGTCTTGGGGGCTTCTGAAGCCGTCTGGAGGCAATGTTGGGCGTCTTGGGTGACCTTTGGGCGTATTAAATGCTTTCTGGTAGCTTTTTGTAAGCCTCAGGGGCGCACTTGGGTTGTTTTAGGCGCCTCATCGGCCGTCTTGGGGCTCTCTTGGGCTGTCTTGGGGCCCTCTGGGGCGCCACTTAGGTTGTCTTGGGGCGGTCTCGGGAGCCTCTGATGTGGTCAAGAACTATACGACAGCGAAAACAATTGAGGTAGTAAAAATATACGTTTTGCGAAGGGAATGGGGCTATTTTGCCCTTTTGGAAATCTCTTCGGGCGCGTCTTGGAGGCCTTTTGGGGCGTCTTGGCGGCTTCTGAAGCCGTCTAGGGCGATGTTGGGCGTCTTGGTGCGACCATTGGGCGTCTCGGGTCGCGTTTGGAACGTCCCGAGTCCTTTCTGGTAGCCTTTTGTGGGCCTCAGGGCCGCACTTGGGCTGTTCTGGGCGCCTCTTGGGCCGTCTTGAGGCTCTCTTGGGCTGTCTTGGGGCCCTCTGGGGCGCCTCTTGGGCTGGCTTGGGGCTGTCTTGGGGGCCTCCGGCGTCGTCATGAACTGTACGGCAGCGACAACTATTGATGTAGTAAAAATATACGTTTTACGAAGGGAGCGGGGCTGTTTTTGCCTTTTGGAGATCTCTTCGGGCGCGGCTTGGACGCCTTTTGGGGCGTCTTGGGGGCTTCTGAAGCCGTCCGGAGGCAATGCTGGGCGTCTCAGAGCGACCTTTGGGTGTCTCGGGTCTCTCTTGGAGCGTCTTGGGGCTCTCCTGGCGTTTTCTAATGGCATTCTGTGGGCCTCCGGCGCCTCCAGAGCCCCCAGTCCCCACATTTGCGGTCGTGGTCCCGGCCCCGGGCCCCCGGACCCGGTGCGCCGTTATATGTATAAGTCGAATCGGCGATCGGAATGAATCGGATCGGCTGAAATCGGCAGCCAAGTCGGGAGGAGTCGAATCGATTGAAATCGGCAGGGAAGTAAGGCCTCAGTGAGACATCGGGGTCCGCATCGGAGTCTGAAGCCGAACAGAATCGGAATCGGAAGCCATCAAAGTCGATTCGAATCGAATCGGAGGGATCGAAACGAGCCCTGGCAACCTGGGTCTGGCGCCATACGATTGCCAGAGCGCGGTAGAAGGCCACATGCAAACCCCACCCCCACCCGCCCACGACTTCTGCGGGGGGGAGGGTGGGGCTCGCTTCGCTCGGGAGCTCTTGAGCGAAGTGAGGCCCACCCTCCCTGCCAGACATCCTGGGGGGGGGGAGGGGCAGGTCTCGCACGTGGCCCCCCTACGAGCGCGGGCCCACACGTGCCGAGCCAACACGCGGCGCGCTGCCAGCGACGCCTGGAACGGGGCACGCGCCGCGTCGCCAAACGAGCGCATCGGGCCCAGACCCCCGACGTCGTCATGTCTGTGCATGGCGTCGACCCCCCAAGAGAGGTCCGGACCCACTCCCCGGGACCGGCTTTTCATCCCCAGTCGTTTTGTTGACGGTCCCGAGGGCCAGTCAGGGCCCCCAGAGGCCGAAGATTCGGAAAGACCTCCCGTCGTCATCTGTTCAGCACCCGAGGGGGCCTGTGGGGCAGCGGAGGTCGTCAGCAACTCCTCGGGAAGTCGGATCGGACAGGACCGCGCGTTGGGTCGGGCCGCATCGGCACGGCGTCCCGAGATCGCACCGGAACGGCCGCGCCCGGCTGCCCCGCGGCGACTCGGGGCCGCGGAGCCGCTTCGAGGGAGCGCCGCGGAGCCGCGTCGGCTCGGGCCAGCCGCACCGGACCGGTCGGAGCACCGCAGGGACCGCTCGGGCCGACCACATCGGACAGATCGGACGGGATCCCGCCATCCGCCGGTCGGGGGATCGCAAGTATGGATTAGCGATCCATGGATTTGGCGCGCGGTCGCCAAATCCATGGATCGGGGGAGGTGCCCTCCCCAAGATGCGGCCGACGGCGCCTCGCTCGGCGGCGGAGATGTGCGATGTCCCATGGAAGCGGGACCCGTCTCTAACCCACGCCGCCGTGATGCATGCTTGCGATCGCCTAAATTGAGGTCACCCCATTTAGGGGGGGCCCTCTGGGCACCCCATGCAGGCCACCCCCTATTGCCAACCGCCCGACCGAGAACCTCAGGAGAAAGAGCCCGGAAAACCCCCATGACCGACCCTGATGCCTCCCCATTCGGGCCACCCCATCTAGATCACCCATCTCTATGCCACCCCCTTTAGGGGGGCCCTCTAGGGGACCCTCCTCCATCTGTGCGAGATCGCCTGAGATCGGGCCGCCCACATCGGACAGCTCGGATGGGACCCCGCCATCCGCCGGGAAGGCCGCACACCGCACCGCACCCGCCTCCGCTCAGGTCGGGCATGTCCCCCTGCAGGCGGATCGGGGACTTGTTAACTGATTTGTTTACCAAAAACTCAAGCATCGCCAAAAAAGGCTAGACAAATGGTCCCCAGACTACTTTCTGGGACTGTCTTTGGATGTTCCT